AATATCTTCCTTATTTATGCTTCGATTTTCAAAATCGAAGAACCATTCGCATCTTGAAACATAGGCGCATCGACATTATTTCGAGTATTTTTTTGATAAACGTTATAGTTACTGAGATAATGCGAGGTATATAAAAAGCAATTTAACGAAAATTTACAAGTTTCGAGTTATAGCCGTTTGAAATATGATTTTCTCATATATCGTAATGTAATTGGTGAATTTCAAAATTTTCTATAATTTGTTCTACTCGTCACACGAAATCAAGATTCGACAGGGTGGAAGTTCTGGAACCCATCAATATTTTCCAAAAATAAAAAAAAATTCCATATTTTTTTATAAATTACCCCCTACCCCCCAAACGCACAGGACGATTTTTTGACGACAAGTGGATCCATGATCTGGAGATGATAGGAAACAATTCTAGCCATGTCACAGCTTTTTACCTCCGATTTCCCACCAACTTTTGATCTAAGCGACTTACGGTTCGTTTGGCACTCTACTATGACTTTCGAGTGGAGCACATGTAAACTACGATGCATCCTCTCCAGCTCTCCTAATATCATCATAAACCTCTCTGGCAACACAAATAGAGAGTAATAAATCAATAGTAGTGTAAAATCTGAGATCGCACCCTATCCGCACATACGGCGTGTTCATATTCGACAATGGGGATCGGGAGTGCGAACTACGGAGTCTAAAAAGGCCCTGCTGCATCGTGTAACAGCTGTGCAGTGCTGGATGCTGCACGGATATAGATGTATAGAAAGTCAAATGGTGTTGTCACTATTCCTATTGAATGGAGTTTCGAATTCTCTCGATATTCCCGAAGTTTCAAACCAAATTTACTACGAATGCTCCTAATTTATATTATTTCTATTTGAAATTTGAACAAAATCTTGAATAGGCCGTAAACACCGAAAACATGACAGTCGTGACAAATTATGTGAAGATGAAGATGTTTCCCCACGGATTATTTGTTGCGCCCTGACACTTTTGCGTCCTGTCTCTAGATGCTTCTTATCAGCTTTTGTTGAATTCATGCATCATCAACGGAACTCTTCAGGTCCCGAAAGAAGGAAAACACATCCTTGAAAGTCTAGTTCAAGTCCATAATAAGATTCGAAACGCACACTGAGACAAATTATTCGTTGTAAATACCTAAAGATCACTATACCATATACCAAGCGTTGTGGTTAAATAGGCGCCAGTCACCACATCTATCAAATATAACCACTACAAAATACTATGATTGAGGCAATATGACATACTGAAGCACCAGTTATTAGGGACCCTACCTGTACGGTTATTATTCACAACTATACAGATGAGTGAATAATACTATACTCGTCGTTTCGAATTAACCACTACAAACAATAAATTTATACTCTACTTATCAGATTCATATTTATACCACTACAAACAAGTGATGGATTCGTTCATTTTTGTCTGTTCATTTTTATCTGTTCAAACTCTGAACCAATATTCTTCTACCGCTATCAGGCCCATCAGGGACATACTTATTTGGAGAAAAAACTGGAAAGTATATCATAGAATCCCAATAATTTGCAGCTATGCTATGATAATTAGGTAGGTAGTGAAGATAGTTATGTGAGTATATGAATGAAGTTGGGAATTAGAGAATAATCGAATTATTGTGCAAATTTGAATTTTGTGTGCAACAAAATTGAGATTTTCTTGTAATCCTCAATAACTTGTGCAAAGTTCACCTGCCATTTCAGTTTCAAGATGAAACGAATAGGTATTTTACTTACTGTTGAACACTGGTAACAACTCTTCGAGTATCAGGTACAGTTCACACTTCACAGTATAATTCACGAGACTAACACAACAAAAGATGAACTATGAACTGATGAACGAACCATGCCAACGCCAGGCCACATTGAAAAAAACGAACGTCGACGATCGGCTTCGTGATTTCGGCATATTACTCTCTGATGTGGTAGATTTGTACATCACAAAAAGTAAACCTATTATTATTACCTTAAGCACTAATACGTAGTGGTAAATAGAAATATCATGAGAGTAACATTCATCACTAGGATAGTGTTGAATGTTTCACTAGGATAGTGTTGAATGTTACTCCCATGATATTTCTCAAAGTACACCACTACATAAGAGATATTTATCAATTACTGGATATGGAACATGTTATTTGATGTAGAGGTGAATAATAATTTGAAGTATTAATATTCGGAGGTGGTATGCAATACGTTTGTCTAAGTATTGATCACTCAAATAAGTGATATCACGAACACGAATATGTGTTGTGTTTGATGAGACTAATTCGAAATCACCATTACATTTCGTTATACAAATTTTCATTTATTTTCTCAGTGCATTTAGAAATGTTTCAAGAAATTGTCTATCCTTCACGACATCTATCATCGAATATGAAAACCCCACGTTCCGACCTCGCATTCAATTGTTCATATCGAGAGCTATTATCACGAAACAATTGACGAGTGGATACACCAGAGGAATTATAAACATCTCAGCACGAATGATGGCCACAGTGGCGTACCTCCGTAACTACCGCTGAAGCGAGATCAACCAGAGATCATGTAAAATTTAATTGAAAAAAAAGTAGAATACTATCAATCCAAGTGCCAGCTACAAAATCCGACCGTCATTATGATGACGAAATGATATATATTCCATGGTATAGATTTCAAAAACCTACCTGTGCCAACCCTCAGTCTGAGCCGATTCCACGGCAGATTTTTTTGCTGTTATTATTCCGCACCGTATATACCCCTATTTCAGATTAATTATGAAACGAAGGCTTTCACCTGTCAAGCGTTATTGGTGGAATTTCGGAACACCATGTATATCATCCGAAATGAATCTGATCAATGACCAAGGATCATTAATATTTAGGAAATTTGTCAAAAAATGACATTTGGAGAACAATAACAAGTGAACAGAACTATGAATTCGAAGGATCAGGTATATTGGACCTTCTGTGATTTTCATTGCAGTACACTATAGTTTTGATGATGGTTCATTTCAGACGCCACCCCTCAGTCTGAGCCGATTCCACGGCAGATTTTTTTGCTGTTATTATTCCGGACCGTATACCCCTATCTCAGAGTAATTATGAAACGAAGGTTTTCACCTGTCAAGCGTTATTGGTGGAATCTGATCAATGACCAAGGATCATTAATATTTCGAAAATTTGTCAAAAAATGACATTTGTTGGAGAACAATAACAGGTGAACAGAACTATGAGTTTGAAGGATCAGGTATATTGGACCTTCTGTGATTTTCATTGAGTACATACACTATAGTTTTGATGATGGTTCATTTCAGACGCGTGTTCCTCTAAGTAAAACAGTTTCTTTTATCGTGCATGAGTATGATAATGATGAGGATACTTTTAAGTGCTTGAAACTACTGAATTTTGAAAACAGTAAATCGAACAATAAGTTATATGAGTCATTATATCTAAAAAAGATCAACGACAGTGTGGTTTATAACAAATTGAGTGATAGGTAGAAAAACTATTTCTTTTATTTTCACAGTTTTCAAAACTGACATATATTTTGAAACGTCTTACTTTACGTAATTATAGTTGCGTGAAATGAAATATTACATTACTGGTGATTTCAACACCTGTTAAGTAACAAAAATATGGAGGAACGAAGAGAATATAGTATACATTTTGTGCGGCTTCCACGATGTCACTTGGGCAATCTGAACTTGAATCAGCCATTTTTCACTGATGAAGGTATCAAACGTCTTTTTCGTGAATTTCTTCGCTGATTTGTGACCATATTTTTGTTCGACGGATACTTAAAAGTGACTTGCGAAGTAAAATTGCCTACTACACTTTGTATATAATCATGCAGTACACGGTAAAAATTTTTGAGTTGATTTCAACTCCATGCACAAGTCCACACAACTTTGTGGTCAATCCAGGTCCAAAAGGGATTGAGTAACCATCTTTATAGCCAACCTTCCAATTATATTGACACAAAATGACTCAGAAGTATGAAAAATGTTCACGATATCATGTATATACACAGATTTGACTGAACTTCAACAAAATTTGAGTTCTTGCGATAAAACTAATTGTGCATTTTTATTTTAATGAAAAGCTTCACTCAATAGAATCGTTTACCGTGTAGTACTCATGTAGAACTGTTAATTATTTGTATTCAAGCGAATTTTTCCATCAGAATTAGAAACAATATTATACGTAATACGTTAGGCAACTCATTTTTTGTGGCGATGGGATTTTGCGGGAAATGCGAACCGTTTCCTAACTAGCTACGTGATTATCTATTGTGACAGGTATGTGTACGAAATTTGAGAAATTCGGTTCACTTGAAAAAAACTTGATTCACAAAAATGATTTCCGTGACTTTTATATTTTTAGCTTGTTGTATCGATTTTATTATACCTACTTATATAGAAGAGTCATCAGAATGTTTGCTCATTATTTCCAAATACTTTATTCATAATATCTGTTGGCAACAAAATGCTCGATGAATGGTTACCTACATCTCGGTTATGCAATATAGTGAAAAACAAATGACAAATGTTTTTAGTTATCCACTTGTGCGAAACTTGTTCTCGAATAATATAGTAGATAACGATGAGGTGTATTCTGATTTGCTTCCTCTGATCATATTTAAAATATTTTTAAAAATTTTTCGTTCATAAATATTGAACACTAATATTTTGAACCTTGACCACCATTTTTTTATATAGGTATATCTTTTCGTACTTACCCTTCTCGAATGTAGGAAAATCGAACTTTACTTTATTTCTGGCGAATTGAACTATATATAGCCATGAATAGCGTCTTTTGTCATGAATTTCCTATTATCACTCTTATCGAAGGTTTTGGGTAAATCAGAAACAGTCGTTCAATAATTAAAATTGGGTAATTTTATTCTTCATATCAATCAAGTCAGTGAAGAAATGATCATGAATTGTACAAAAATACCTAAATATCTATAAATTACATCTGCTATCACATTTGCAGTACATTGTTAACCTTTAAAAAATCTGTCAATAGCTAACACATCTTATAATATACACTATACACAATATTTACAAATAAATAAAGCTTTACGTCAAACCATGTACAATATTGCAACAACCTCCAACTAAATCACTAATGCAAACTAATACGGCCTCCAAACCGACTTGATAGCATTCACAGCCGGCGAACCGTTCAACTTGGTGTTCGGCGAACTCGGATTAGAAGACAGGCTCTTGATCTCGTGTTTGAGCGTCCTCAAACTGACAGCCTTCGGTTCTCCTTTCAACCTCACAGGCTCTTTATCCTGCACCGTGGAGTCGGGGTGCTGGATCTCCTGCAAGAGGACACTGGCAGGCTTTATGGGAACGAAGGCGGACTTCACCACGTCGACCTCCTCGTCAGACTCTTCTGACGCGGAGCTCTGGTCCATGGTGGAGTGTATCCTGGTTTCCTGAGCGCTGAACTGCGGGCTGACGCTCCGGCTGTTGGAAACAGGCGATATCCGCATGCTGAGCTGCTCCAAGGGACCGGGAACCACGGGCCTCAGAGGCATGTCGAAGCCTGGAAGCTTGGCGAGGTCTTGCGGGAACTGAGGCAGAGTCGATGGCAGGTAGTTTGGTGCGTGGTGGAAAGGAGCTGTCGGAGCTTGAGGAGGCTGGATGTAGAAGTCGTGTGGTGGCGGGACGTTTGGTCCAATCGGTGATCCTGGAATCGAAAATAAATAATGAATAAGTTTTCTTCATGATAATAAATTATATTGTGAACAATAACTGAGTTCAGGTGGCTTTGAAATACTTAACTCAAGTCTGGTAGGTACTTCACAAATACAGACAAAGACACAGAAGTTATGGAAGCAAGAATGAGTTTTTGTTCTTAATCTAATAGATTGGGAGATAACTACTGTTGAAAAATACAAAAATAGACAATTCATTGATGGATTTCTTCTTTTTTCAGCTATTAATCTCCAATTTCGAGTTTTTGTGTCTTGAATACTTCTCGAATGATTCTTGACTTCGAAAACTCTTAGGGTTATTTGTGTAACCCTCATATTGGATTGCTCTCTGCAGGCCATTTGTGTGACAGTATATTATGTTTACTACACCTTCTCCAGTTGTATTTCAGAAGCGTCACATGTATTTCAGAATAGTCACTATAGTATATTTCAGAAAGCATAAAATTGTATTTCAGAATATAGTCAATTGAATTTCAGCAAGTGTCATTTGTAATTCAGAGAATATAAGTAATTTGAATTACAATTTATATTTTCTGAAATTCAATTGACTAATCCAAAGTATAAGTGACGTTTTCTGCTATACAAGCGACTACCTATTCTGAAATACATTGTGCTTTCTGAAATTAAATTGACAATCCTGAAGTAAACAATTGACGCTTTCCGAAATTCAATTCTTCAACATTCTGAAATAAAATTGATACTTCCCGAAGCGCAAGTGACTATTCTGAAATATATTTGGCGCTTGCTGAAATATATAGTTGCTAAGCCAAACTCAACGGTAAGGAATCTACTTGCAGTTTAGCGAATGGTAAGTGATCATTTTGAATAGGTATCTAATAGGCATCTGATGAGTAACGACGAATAAAATAATAATGATCCATAAGAATGCTTCGAAATAAATCGATCGTATGTATGAAAAATAGTAAAATCATCAAAAAGATTAACTTCAGACATGAGTTCAGACAGAAAACAAATCCATACTTGATTTTTAATTATTGCAGCCTCAAAATCCAATATTTTAACACCAAAATAACAGATTTACTCAAAGTCGAAATATCGATACATATCGATCGATTTATTTGAGGTATATAATAGGAAAAATGAAACGTTACCTTTCACTAAGGATGGATGAACATTTGGTTGTTGCGGCATATTTGCACTTCTCCTGAGATAGTCAGGAAAAGCATAAGACATGTAGGCAGCATCTATCCATCCTGGGTTGAGCAAGAATGGGTTGAATCCAGCAGGGAGTCCTGGCAACCCGTATCCATATTGGTAACCTGAAAATAAAAAACACCGGACATAAACAAACATATCACATATCAACTGTGAAATACTGGAAACCAACATTGTAAACATCATTTCCAAATGCGAGACATCTGCTCAATAAAATGAAATCAAATGTTTTGAGTTAGATCCCATTAAACGTGAAACTGGCAGTTTGTTGGCTGAGGATTTGATATGCCGACAAACCTTTGAGAACATTAAAATTTTTGGATGTTTATGCTTCCAACATATGTTTATGTATTGTTTTGGTTGTTTATCAAACACTAAAGGACGTTAAAAGGCAATTATTGGCTTCTTGGCCGGTTTACAAAGAAAATCTCTGGCGTATTTTTAGAAGAACTTCGCTTTAATTACTCACTTGATTTCGTTCTGGGTTCCCTCGGTCCATCAACAGTCACTTTGATGGCTTTCGTGTAGGTGGCCATTTGATAGTAAGGTAGTGAGCTGACTGTGATGGTCAACGTCAAACTTTTGCCTCGTCCCGAACGTCCCACGAACCTGAGATCGTTGAACTTGGCCACTTGATTTTTCATCACGGAAGTGCAATTCCTCAACTCCGCGCAATAGTTTTCATCGTTACCAGCTTTCAAGGTAACCACAGTACCATCTGCTACATCGTCGAGAGCGACCACTTTGAAAGCTATGGGTAAACTTTTGTTGGATCTCCAATGAGTCGGTAAAACACTGCACAAAATTGCCGGACTTCCCGTTTGAACTAATTCTCCGTGGTACTCCTGGAGAGATTCTTGCAAAGAAGCGTACATATCCGTCATTCTCGATAAGTTTTGGTTGTTAGGTAAATGCATTTAGACTAGAATCACGAGCACTCAACAGTCACGAACCACGCGTAGGTATAATGCTCTCCCTGTATGCAAAGATACGACACTTTCAAACTCGAGAGAAACACTGATTCCTAACTTTTTCAGTGGAGAGTATTAACGTTTCGGGAATCACCCCCTCCCACTACTTCAAAGGAGGGTAGTTTTTAAATAGCTAGACCGACAGTGGAAAGAGACGGAGCGAATCGGGAGAGGTGTGGGAGAGAGATGGCAGATGTCTGTGCGTTCTGGTGGACTTTTATAATACCTCGGCGAGAGAGAGGTATCCAGCGGGTTCGCGGTTGGTTTGAGCGAGAAGGAAAAATCTTGTTGACTAGTCATGGAGGGAGAAAAAATAATTTGCCGCTGTGAATGAAAGTGAGACGTATGCGTTTTATATGTTCGAGCAAGAGGGTGTGAGGTTAGAGTGAGATGTAATTTTTGGTTTGCCGAGCGCAGAGTCGGATTGTAAATCTTTTCAATGGAAGTTTGTCTAAGATATTATACGGTTAAATCCATGGGCTTTTGGGTAATTTCACCATGAAATATTGTATTGTGATTGTATTGGAGATTGTAAATAATGTTTGCTGTTTGGAAAATTGGTGCAATAGGAACTGGAGTTGTTTGCACACTTATAACGGGTTGCTTTGTCGTGTGTTTCGAGAAACATATTTTCACTTTTAAGCTCGTATAGAAATATGAGAGTTGAATTGCCATTTATTCCAAAATTATCTTTCTTTCTCCAAAATAGAGAATTCCTTTTCCACTCTTAGTATACATATTATACTAAATTTTGTGTACCTTTAAGTACAAGATAATAATAATTTTGCCAGGAATCCTACTTTCAGGTTCTGTGGTTATAGGTAATTATTATGTGATGAATGTAAAACTTGTTTATTTCATACTGCATCATAGAACATACCTTTACGTAACTGATTTCAATCCGGAAAATAGACTTTTACAGGATAGGCGCACGTAATATTTCATTACGTGCTACTATCCCGTAATGAAATTTTACCGGATTGTAAATATTGAAAACTCAGTGTTATGCGTATTTTCCATAGACAAAAAAGCTTGAATTCTTTGTCATAACGGAGTGACGATTTGTTGGGTATCAGATGCCCCGTATAGCTTCATGTGATTTGCGCAAAATATCCTCAGGAATGAATAATTGATCTTGAGCTGTGTCCTGAGCCATTTCGTGAAAAACGCGTAATGACAATCACTGACAGTATTATTTAAAACAAAAATTATGTTTCTAAGGAAACTACCTGCCAGCTATCTTGGGAGTGAATGCAAAATTCTGAAATTACATGGACGCAGATAAATCGATTAATATTTTATTTTTCACTGTTCATTTTTGTTTTTTAGCAGGATGAAATAAAATGTTATACGTCACACGTCCGGTAAACTTTTAGAGTACTCGTTTCGAAATTCCGAACTCGGCTTGCGCCTCGTCCGTAAACATCTCACTCGTACTGTAAAAGTGTACTTACCGGACTAGTAACGTAAATATCTATTACACTCTAAGAAAAACTGGAACACCAGTTGACACCAGCTAACAACCGAATGATTTCCTTAGAGGTCCTGCATATTTCAGTGTTAATTCACACCTATTTGTAGAGCACCGGTGTTTGGTGCTATCTCTGCACATTTCCAGGTGAGATTTGTGATTTCGAAATCGATGTAAAGTAATACCAGTCTGGTGTGTTATGTGCAATGTTTTCTGATAGAGTTCGCACTGGTCTGGTGTGAATCACAATACTATTGATCATGAAAAACATCAGTATATTTAAAGTCACACCGGAATGAGTTTACAAAATCATCATCAAATGATCAAATCTACAATGAACGGTGTTTATTTACACCAGATCATTGAATTCTTAACCGGAATTGTGTCAATTCTAATTGAGGACAGTTCTTCATCTGACACGAATCTTCAGAATTCTGACACATTTAGGTATGAAACAAAATTGCTTCAATCAATTTGTAATTCATTATAGTGTGAAATATTTTTGTTGAGATATAGGTACAGGGTATCTCAAAATTGCTGGGACACAGAGCTACCACAGGTAATACGGGTCAAAATAAGTTGATTGGACCCAACTTCTTTTTATTGAAAAATATACCGTTTGTCCGTGAGACGTGTTCAGAGTTTTCATAAATAAACATATTTTCAAAAGATCTACAATTTCTTTCGGGATTCTTCGATTACTGAAAGAAGAGTTATACTCTAAAATGCACTTTCGTCGAATATCATCCAATTTGATTCACTCATTTTTGAACAGCGATCAGCGAACGAAAATGTGTTTATTTATGAAAACTTTAAACTCACCTCACGGACAAACGGTACATTCTTTTATATAAACAAGTTAGGTCCAATCAACTCATTTTGACCTGTATTACCTGTGGTAGCTCTGTGTCCCATCGATTTTGGTGTTGTGTCGAAAGATCGAGACAATTGTTTCTGATTTTGACTCCTCAATAAACTTTTCTGAGCATTTGAATTTTATTTTTATACACTTCATGATAGAAACAATCATGCACTTTACACTGGAAGAGCAACATGATCCGTGCTTATTGAAAGCACAGTGAAGAGAGACAGTGCTGAATATTGCTCAACGTTTACTACGAATGGCTGTGGAACTCTGGAGTCTGGAGTGTGGAAGTGATAGGAGCACGTACACAAAGAAGATGCGCAAGGTTGCCAAGCATCACGATATGAAATAACTAAGTATATGTACCTAGTTTCATGATAATTTAATGAACATAGGCAGTAGGTACTTAAATGAAATTGTCCTCATAAGTTCTTGGAAATACTTCCGTTGGCAAAGAATACCGAAGCTTCGTCGTTCCATTGACAAACGTGTTTTGGAAAGGAGTTGTTTGACATAATTCTAGATTGACGACAAAACGATGATGTGCTGACTCAGCCTGTCGAGTACGTTTGACGAATGATGAACCAAAATGTAAGCATGTAAGCTCTGCAATAATGATACAGAATTTTGCAGTCGTTAATTAGAGAACATCATATTGATATTGAATTCATCAACTTCTAATCATTATCTTACACCACGATGTTCAAAGTGTTATATATGAAATAGGTTTAAGTAATATAAAATAGACGAGGTGGCAACAGTGTATGGCGACAAATTTGTTCCGATGTTTTTCTGATATTAGTGGTGTTGATTTACAACTATTCCAGTGTCATTTATTCCAGTGATATCAGAAAATACACTGGTTTGGTTATCAATCTCATTACTAGGTGAATATCTTGAAGAGGAATTATTTGTGTGAATATGGATACTTCATAAAATTGATAGTCACATGAAAAATATGATAGTTGATCACTTTCATGATATGAATTTTGGAAAATTACACCTACTAATGATAATTTTTCAGAATATATCAACTTTGTGATTCATGAATAGAATAATTTGATGTTTACAGTTTGAATTCAAATAATGAGTATGAAAAGTGTGATTCCGAATTCAGATTTGCCATAATGTATCACGATTTACACCGTCGAACCCCACGATATCAAATTCCCAATACTTATGATAGGATAGTACAATTTTGGTGTTGAATAGGGTTAGTGTTAATTCCAACAGTCTGGAATTGAAAAAGACACCAACAGTTTTCTTAGAGTGATAGATACCTTGATATATACCTATTAAATTTATGATTGAGTAAAACTCTTAGGGTCATAAGTATGGTGAAAATGTCATACCAGTCATTCTAGTGATGCCTTAGTTTGACATTGTTACTATGGTAACCAGCAAATTTTTTGGAAATTCCAAGCACATGTAGACGTAAAATTAATTAGTGGAAATGTTCTGGCACATGACAGCTATATCATATAAATAGACAAAATTGAAATAATTCCAAGAATATTTCTTATGTTACGGAAACCTAGTGAGAAAATCATATGAAATCAATTATTTTTATATAATAATCTACTTGATACTATAAATTTCATTCAACCAGGGTACAGGGAGATTAAATATTCACTTAATGTTTTCGGTATCCCATTTTTTAATGAATCCCCCACGTGCATGAATTAATTGCGGAAAATTTGTCTCCTATTTGAAGAAAATTCTCGGAAAATTCATGCGCTCAAAATAAACCACTCAACTATGTCCAGTTTGGTGACGTCCGGATTGACCATATTGTACTCAGAAAGAGTTGAACATTTCGTGCTCTTTATTGGCAGCAATTTGAGTCATGATGTGTCAAATGCATTGTTTTTTGTCCATGTTGATTATAATTAAATTAGAAAACGTAAGGATTCATGCATTGAGTTGTTATATCTCTTGTTCTTATTTTCAATAATCAACAATTCAGCGATATTTGATTTCATATAAAAATATATGATTTCGACAGTGCGGCGCCGATTCATTCATATTTAACATTTGACACCTATATGTAGCTAACCTCCCAATACGAAATATCTAACTTGAGAATGATGTCATTGTGAGGTGAATTCTCAATCAAATTCTACGATGAACAATCTGATTGGGTGGAGCTTATATTCTCTTCAAATTAAAAATGTACAGATAGTATCATCAAGAACTCGAACTTTGATGAATGTCAGTCAGAATAAAAATGTGTAAATGATTTCGTTTGGACCTTGAGTTGAAATCAACAAATCAACTAAACAAATTTTACCGCGATGAGTATCAAGTGCTGTACAATACATGATTGTCTATTTGGAAATATCCTTTATCTTCTGTACTATACACAAATTTCTATATCTGGACCAATTTTCTAAGAACTATTCTACGAGAATTATAATATGTATCTATACATTGGGAAAGAAACTATATGAACTCTTTGCACCGTCGTCTATGTAGGTATAACTTAATAGGATTACGGCAGTAATAAAAGATCCTTACTGTTTCATCAAGGATGGTATTTGAATGAGATAAGCTCAACACTAATCCAATTAGGCAAAATGGAATACAGGTAAATTTTATAAGATTATAAATACTTACACATCATATTTTCAGAAATCATCTCAGATGTGGTTGAAGGAATACACACCAAAGCAAAAATTTATTAGGGTCGGTAATAATCTTTGCGAAAATACAACAGGTAGGTATATGAGGTACAAAAAAATATTGATACAGTCTAATATTGGGGAATAATACCCTCACCTGTATGTATAACTACATTCTCACAATACCGGAAATGGAACTATCAATAGATGATTATTATGTTTTGCAATCTCGAAACTTCAAGGTATCCAAAACTGATGGTGATCTTCGGAAGATATCGACCCTCAATAACACTTAGAAAAATGATTCTGCAGAAACTTGTACACCAAACAT